ACCTGTGTTAGAGATATGACAGACAACAGTGTTAGAGACATGACGCACAGCTGTGTTAGAGATATGACGCAAAATTGTGTTAGAGATATGACGCACAACTCTGTTAGAGATATGACCTCACAACTGTGTTAGAGATATGACGCACAACAGTGTTAGAGATATGACACACAACTGTGTTACAGATATGACGCACAACAGTGTTAGAGATATGATCTCACAACTGTGTTAGAGATATGACGCACATCTGTGTTAGAGATATGAAGCACAACTGTGTTAGAGATATGACGCACAGCTGTGTTAGAGATATGACGCACAACTATGTTAGAGATATGACGCACAGCTGTGTTAGAGATATGACGCCAACAGTGTTAGATATATGACGCACAACTGTGTTAGAGATATGACGCACAGCTTTGTTAGAGATATGACGCACAGCTGAGTTAGAGATATTACGCACAACTATGTTAGAGATATGACGCACAGCTGTGTTAGAGATATGACGCACAACAGTGTTAGATATATGACGCACATCTGTTTTAGAGATATGACGCACAGCTGTGTTAGAGATATGACGAACAACTGTGTTAGAGATATGACACACAGCTGTGCTAGAGATATGACGCACAACAGTGTTAGAGATATGACGCACAGCTGTGTTAGAGATATGACGCACAACAGTGTTAGAGATATGACGCACAACTGTGTTAAAGATATGACGCACAACAGTGTTAGTGATATGACGCACAACAGTGTTATAGATATGACACACAGCTGTGCTAGAGATATGACGCACAACTATGTTAGAGATATGAAGCTCAGCTGTGTTAGAGATATGACGCACAACAGTGTTAGAGATATGACGCACAACAGTGTTATAGATATGACACACAGTTGTGCTAGAGATATGACGCACAACTGTGTTAGAGATATGATGCACAACTGTGTTAGAGATATGTCGCACAGCTGTGTTAGAGATATGACACACAACTGTGTTAGAGATATGACGCACAGCAGTGTTAGATATATGACGCACAGCTGTTTTAGAGATATGCCGCACAGCTGTATTAGAGATATGACGCACAACTGTGTTAGAGATATGACGCACAACTGTGTTAGAGATATGACACACATCTGTGTTAGAGATATGACGCACAACTGTGTTAGAGATATGACGCACTACTGTGTTAGAGATATGTCGCACAGCTGTGTTAGAGATTATGAAGCAAAATTGGGTTAGAGATAGGAGGTACAACTATGTTCGGGACAATAAGCACACAACCCAATTTTATATTACATGTTTAATTTGATTGAATAGGTAGGCTGCGTTACAATGCATAAGCCAGGCAATTCGTTATGTTTAAATTTCCCAAACTAAATATATTAATAATAGCTTGTAATGTACCTTCCGCCAATAAATACTTTATCTTTCTCCACAAGCAACACTCGTAAGATATCTCGTGCTTTTCTGTAGCTTACAAATTCGTGAACCGGTTCAACTTCTGTAAGTAAAAAAAAAAAAAAAAAAAGCACAATTATGGATCATAAAATATACTTATTTTCTAGTAACTGTTTCAGTGCATAGCTTTCAATTTAATCTACGTCACATTCGTTTGACAACATGCGGTTGACGCAATTCTAAAATCTTCAAAAGCCGATAAACGTAATGTGAAACCATGTCGGGGGTATTAACAGTCTTGACCTGCTTATCCCCCATTGGTGTATTGTAAAAAGTCAGCCATGTCATGAGCGAGCCTTAGTATGGCACATGATACATAAACACGTATGGCTTCCATTTAGCGCTGTAAACAGATTAAAGTCCTTTATTTTTCACACAACCATCACAGAAATCACAAGTACACGCGGTCAAGTTCTAAGATAGTAAAATAAAAGCTAGGATATGTGTTATTTGTTTTTAAAAAAAAAAATTTTTATAAAAGAAATGTTTAATTTTTTATGTTTTCTGTCTAGTTACAAAACTTAAACCAAAGCTATGCCAACAATGTTATAAAAAGTTATATGTGCTAACATATAAAGATTATGTCAAAATCAAAATATTATTTTTAAGTTTTTGTATTTTTAGAAATGTTATTGTTAATTAAATATACGTACACTTTGAAAACGGCCGTGATTCTTAGGACAAGCAGTCATTATCGTAAATGAAATGCTTTATAAGTTTCTTGATTAAGTAGGAAGTCTTAGTCATAGTCTTTGTCTTAATCTTCTTAGACTAGTCTTAGGACTCCAAACTTAGTCTAACTTGTGTTTCTTAATCCTAGTTGTTAGTTTTTTTTTAAAAATTAATCTTAATCTTACTTGTAGTCATAGTCTAAGCTTTAATCTTTTTTCTTAGTGTTGTAATAGGACTATAAACTTATTCATAAGATTTTTAACTAAGTCTCTGTTTTAGTCTCAGACTTATTCTTAGTTCTAGGACGCTAAACTTAGTAGTTCTTTCAGTCAAACATCAAACAACGATATTTTAAAAATAATGGCAAATGACGACTCTCTAAAGTTACCTTTATTAATTGACATATAATTTGGTAGCCACTCATCTGGCCATGGCATGACCTCGCTGACATATTGGTTGAGGTAACAAGCAAGAAAGAGCCATGTGTAACACGTCCCCATAGCTTGTGTTATCATTCTAAGTCTTTGGAAAGCAGTTGTCGCACCAATGTTAAACTCCGTTCAATACAGAGCGTCTTGTGTATGCACTTTTTTGAACTCAGTGCAGTGCGCAGAAACGTAAACGACGTCAATAGATGAACATTAATACTTTAATTCCACACAAAGTTTAGACAATATAGATGAATTCAAAAAATCGTAGAATGGATAAATTAAAATTGATATCAATATTTTATATATATAACTTAAAAAAATTCTAACAACGTCTCGTAGTTTTATTCTCAAAATTTTAAACAAAAAAATTTAGAAACAGTTTGATGAAATATAATTTTACTATACATAAATATATATATATATTATATATAATATATATATATATATATATATATATATATATATTGTTATGTAGAGTTGTTTACAACACTTTCCTCGTGCGTGCACGCTTATTGACCCCACATGAGATTATACGTTCACAGATGGGCGTGGCCTAGTCTTTTGATCTGTCGTGTTTATTGCCGACAGCAACTAAAATGAATTAATTTGTTCTCGGTTGTGTTTTATCGAATATTCGCGGTTGTATTAGAAAAATAAAGGCATTTCTGGATGCGTCGGTAGACCAAAAATATAAATAAAGGGTTTCGGAGAGAGGGAAAGAGATTCAGCCGGAGATTAAGATTCAGATAGATATTATTAACTTTACGAGAGGATTGTATTATTCTTTGTGTGCTCATATGTGTTTATTCGCATTGATTATTCATCATTCTTATTTGGCACATTGTACTAATTGTGTACCGGTACAAGATCTTCCGATATTCTGTAAATTGATGATTTGTAATTATATTTCTTTTGTTTTGTAATTGTATATTACTATTACTAAATTAAATCTTATTAATCCTAATTGGTAACTGTTTTGGGTGTCGTAATTTTGTTATGGTATTTATCTATGGCATCGTCCTTTGTGAGGCACTGTTTAAACGAGCCATAACTTAAAACAAGAGATTTATTTCTCACAAGTGAAGCCAGTGCGTAACAATATACATATATATATGGCCTCTTAGCGAGAGGCCGTATATCAAATGGCTTAATGAAATGGCTTCATCAAATGGCTTCATCAAATGGCTTCATCAAATGGCTTCATCAAATGGCTTCCAAGAGGATCCTGCTAAGTCATCCTCGCTGTATTTCTCGCAAAGGAACCTTACATCCTGGTTAAACTTGCCCTCCCCTTTCAATGTATATTATTGCAAGGCCTTCGTTTATCGCATCTTCTACCTTAATGACTCATTCATACACTGCTGTTTTTATTTATTTTTTTTATTAAAAAAAGACAAGTATAGTTTGTCAAATCAATCATGTGTTGAAAGATGCCATGCGTAGTGAGGTTGCCAAAGTGATACTAATCAGATTTTATTTCAGTACTTTTTTTCACTTATTGGTGTTACTTTTTAAAAATGATATCCTCCTATATTAATTAAAATAACACAAAAAAGGTGTTTTTATTTCCTATTATTATTGTCGATCAACTCAATTGGGATGACTCCATTTTAATAGATATCAGTAGGTCGATCATCACAAGGAAGATCACTCCCTGATTATTGTTATTATTATTATTAAAATTATTTAGGCCTTTTTGTATAGCGCTTACCTTACAGCATTAAGCGCTTTATGATTATTACAAAATATGTAAACTATTTAAGCTGTTAAAGCAAATAAAAATGAAAAACCAGAGACACTAGAATAGTAACTACAATGTGAAAAATAACTATAAACAGTAGCTAAAACATTAAAATTGCTATAAAAACAAGTACGCTTGGCACGTTTTGGCATATACTTAAATACAGGATCAACCCGAGACAGAAAATGAGGCAGGGCAAGCAGGGTGCATCACAGGTCATAGGCGGACCTAACCAGATGGGTTTTAAGGGACGTTTTGAAAGTGTTGAATGGGAGCTGGTTCCAGAACGTGGGGGCATGGAAGTAGAAGAATTAAACCTCACAGTAAGTCGATCATCACAAGGGAGATCACTCCATGTTTAGCGCCTAACAGTAGGTCGACCATCTCAAGGCGAGGTTTCTCCCTGATAACACCCAATAGTAAGTCGATCATCCCAAAGTGAATCATTTCATGAAAAATCGAACGATAAGTCAATCATCAAAAGCGGGATAAATCCCTGATAGCACCTACCAGTAAGTAGCATGGAACATTACATAACACAACACAAACAATCATGTATTTAAACTATACAAACAAAATCATAATCCCCGCCTTTGATTTTGGAAGTTTATTTGATGATATAACAAGTTTTTTTTTTCTTTTGGTCATCTATTTGAATGGACGGTATGTCAGTGACACACCTTGCTTATGTACGAACAACACTGAACTTCTTTTTATCCACGATAATATCTCGGAAAATGACACACATTTCTCTGTTGGTTTTATTTTTGTTTGGATGGCATCTAGGACTCCAGGCTTTGAATTGAGATACCTCTAACTGAAAGATAAATATTCATTTTATATATATATAATACCAAAATTTATTGTCAGAAAAAAAACATAGTACTTTTGCTTTTTCTTACATTTATACGTTTCTTAATTTTCAGGAAAAAAACAACAACAAAAAACAAACAAAAAAAACAGATAAGAATACAATTTAGAAAGTTCGAACCATTAAGTTTGACACAATCATAAGCTAACAAAGCTCAGAAATGGACCATTACTAATATCAAATTTTATCCTCGCAGGCTTCTAAAACGATCAAGCAAGAAACATAAAACTTTGTTATTAAACTCTTTTGGAATTATAAATGACTATTTAACATCTATCAGCAATTTGTTTAGAACATAGGAGACTCAGTTTGATACTTACTCATCATGGCAAGATGTAAGCTAATTCAACTGTTACCAAATTTCACTGAAATACAAAGAAAGAGTTGAAAGAAGAAAAGAAATGGTCGGATGATGATGGGATGATGGTGGGATGTAGTTGGGATAATGGTTTGATGAACGTGGGGTGAAGGCTTGATGATGGTGGGGTAAAGGTTGGATGATGATGGGATGAAGGTGGGATGAAGAAATCAACATATTTAAAGTTCAATGTATATAAAAATGAATGCTAAATTACATGCCACAAATCATGTCACAATGTATGCCACAATATGTTTTATTATGTATGTAACACTGAAGTATGTTATAATATATGTCTCAATGTTTGCTATTATATATGTAAGAATTTATGTTACAATATATGCCAAAATGTATGATACAATGTATGTCACGATTGATACCACAATTTAAGCTGCACTAGATGTCACAATATTCGTTACAATTTATGTCACACTTTGATTTCACAAAAAATAAAATATGTTTTTGTTTGTTATATGAAATACATATTTGTTTGTTGTGCATTAACACCACAATGCTGAGTATTCCAGTTATTGATGAGGGATGAAATTATGTAACACTGGTTTATAGTTATTGTTGAACATAATAGAAACATTTTTTCTGAGGAGATGTCAATACTGGAAACGAAAGTTATGTGTGCAAGATACAGAGGAGCTGTGTGCTCTTATTTAACTGCTTTCTACTATACCCACAAAGTCCAAGGAGAAAGACCTATTTTTAAGACCGACCATTACTAAGATAAAACGGCAGTAAGTTTATTGAATGTAATTGGACACGCTCAAGCAAAGTAACACAGAGACATCAGCGGTATGTGGTCTTTATTCCCACATCAGAAAAAAATGTCGATTTCGGGTAAATGCATTATTAAACACATATGTCCTGAGGGATGAGATTTTTTTTCAGTAATGTCTCTTAGCTAGAAGTGGAATAGAAATCCTACTGTCAGACATAGCCAGGACACATATTACAATGATTAAGCGGAGTTCTTTTACACGGTACCGGTATTAAATATATAAATTATGGCCGTGAATAAAAATGTGTTTATCAGATTACTTATGACAGTTATGCTAGTATATTGTTTAACAATATATTGTGTAAAATGATATGTTTAGATATAAAGCAAAAACACCACACGTTTCAAGACTATACATAACGTGTTGGACTGTGTCTCTATACTTCACTACCTCATTGCAGACCTATATATATATATATATGTATATATATATATATATATTTATATATATATATATATATATTGATCGTTAAAACTTTTGTTTTAATGATATATTACTCATTACAATATTTTCAGACTGGGGGAAATATTTTCATACTCTCTTCCAAATATATATAAGAAATACATACGTTTCTAATGCTCGAAATAAAACTAAACCTACCACTGCCCCAATGGATCGTGGAGAAATAAATAAGTTTCTCATTCTTTAAATAAAACTAAACCTACCACTGCCCCAATAGATCGTGGAGAAAGTACTAACAGCCCATTGCAACACGTCCACAAAATCACATAAGGAAAGTGTCCTTATCCTCTGCCAGTAGTTCTACTGGTGAAATTAAGTTGTCACTTATAAATAGGGGTCTCAGTCTTGATCTGTGTGACGTAAAAGAAATGGGAATGGAGCGTTATAGCTGGGATTAAACCAATGCCAGAAGTACGAGCTACTCGGCTGAGACGTGTTCTACTGTTATGGGCATTAAGCTAGAATTAAACCAATGCCAGAAGTACGAGCTACTCGGCTGAGACGTGTTCTACTGTTATGGGCATTAAGCTAGAATTAAACCAATGCCAGAAGCACGAGCTACTCGGTTGAGACGTGTTCTACTGTTATGGGCATTAAGCTAGGATTAAACCAATGCCAGAAGTAAGAGCTACTCCGCTGAGACGTGTTCTATTGGAATTAGCGTTAAGCTTGGATTAAACAAATGCCAGAAGCACGAGCTACTCGGTTCAAACGCGCTCTACTGGAATGGGGGTTAAGCTAGGATTAAACCAACGCCAGAAGCACGAGCTCCTCGGCTGAGACACGTTCGATCATTGAGAGGGGGCTAATGTTAATGTGTATAATATGTGATCCAGGCATGCTATACGAGTTAAATAAAACCCCTAGGGTCATGAATAATTTTGGGTCTTATACATACGCTAAATTTTTAAACGATTGCCATAGTTAAATAAAATACTTTTTAATGAAAAATTGCTCAGTATTTATTTGATAAGATATCACAAAAAGTTAACGGTAAAATTCGTTTGTATTTTTTAAAAAAGCCTGTTTCAATGCTGTAAGTGCAATCCGGAGGTCCCCGATCCAAAAATGGACTTTGTGGCTACTGTGGCAAATTTGCTGTTTATATAACTTATACATATATATATATATATATATATATATATATATATATATATATATATATATATATATTTTTTTATGTGTGTATATATATATATATATAAAAAGTTACAAGGGACATGAATACAGCCAAAAGAAGAGATTAGTTGACTTGTTGATAAGATTGTATGACAGGAAGAAGATTAGTTAGGTTGTTCGTAAGATTACATGAAAAGGTGAAGGTTTTTGGGGTTGCTGGTAAGATTATATAAAAATGTTCGAGGTTATTTGGCTTTTTGGTAAGATTACATAAGAAGGTTGACGATTTTTGGGTTGTTGGTAAGATGACAAGAAGGGTTGGAGGTTATTTGGGTTGTTGGTAAGATGGCATGAAAGGTTGGACACATAATATTCAAAAAGTTTATTGGTAGCTTTACGTGTCTGTGCCTTCCAGTGCCGCCGTCCTAGTGATAAGGCTGACCACTTCTCCTGTGTCCACGGACGATATTCGTGTGGTGGTTTTACTGGGCTCACTATCAAGGTGTTCTAAGTCTGGCACGGGCTCACTACGCACTGCGAGGTAATAGATATTACAATTTAACAGGATATAAACAACACAATTTAACAGGATATAATTAATACATTTTAACAGCATATACTCGTCACAATTAGCGAGAATTTTGTCTATGATATACTAAACCCGCTGTAGGCAAATCGTGTCTCGCGAGCGGAATGCGGCTCTTTAGCTACCTGTTTGCGGCTCGGTAGGTCAGCCACAAATTGGTTTCAACTAAAAAAAAAACTTGGTTCTTTATAAGTTCTTGAAGAATTAGTTTGCTCTTGGAAAAATTGGATGGGACTCTCGGCAAGAGAAGGAAACTCTGAATACAAACCCGGAGAATACTATGAAACCATTCGGCAAATCCTGCATCCGTACCCATCTCTGGTCTTCTTGCCAGGAAATGGTGGGCCCGGACGAGAGAGTGAGTTTGACTCCGCGCATCTCTTCCTCACGTTAAGCAAAAGTCACAAAATCATCGGGACGAGCCGATGGTCCTAGTCGGACGAACAACAACAAAGAAATAAGACATGGGATACTAGACACAGTTAGACAGGTAAACTAGACATTTATAATAGCAATTAAGGAAATACTACTAGGCAGTTATATGGATGCGAACGAACATTGATACTTTACGATTATGAACCAGTTTGGAATGACACTAAGCAAATATAGATTAGATAAATGCAAAATGAAGCAATTTAAGACATTTACTTATTTTATATTGTTTCATTCAGGCAAAATTAACGATACATTATGCCTTTTTTTTTAGTTTAAACTCAAACATATATATATATATATATATATATATATATATATATATAATATTTATGTCTCATTATATTTTTTTTTTTTTTTTGTTATTTTCTATAAATTTAAGATATTTATATATTTTATATTGTTTCATTCATACAAAAATAACTATAAATTATGTCTTTTTTTTTAGTTTAAACTCAAACATATATATATATATATATATATATATATATATATATATAATATTAATGTCACATTATATTATTCTTTAATTTCTGGTATTTTCTATCAAAGTGAAATTAACTAAAATTTGAACGCTCTTAGAGATTTCATCTTCGTTTTTGTTCATGTAAAGGGTGATAATAAAGATGTATGGTTCTAAAATATCAATTATTTACCATCGGTTGGTGTCTTCGAAATGACTGTACAGTGTCTTGATTTGGGTCTATGCGCTAAGGATAACAGTAAGATGACAAGTGTTAATGAAATTTAACATGTTAGAGCTATAAGGATTTTCTTGAAACTGAATAAAAATGTGTGGTTTATAGAAAAATGAGATAGATTCGATGTTAAGATGGATAGAAAGATTAGGGTGATGAAAAGTTGAGATGGATAGAAAGAGGAAGTGGAGAGAACTATGAGGTGAATAAAAACATGAGGTTGATAGAAAGGTGTGGTGAATAGAAAGACGATATGAAAATTGTTTTGCCCTGAACCCATTGAGTTGGTCTCATTAAAAAGCGTTGCTTGTATTTAATAGTTATCGCATTTCAGCTGAGCAAACTTTCGCAGACGAAATTAAATATACACACTTTTAAATACAACAGCGCAAAGATACATTTTGAAACAAAATGGTAATTAGGAGATTACTAACTTAGTCAGACCATAAACACAAGTGAAAAAGTGATGACTAACTTAGTCAGACCATAAATATGACGGTCAGAATAAATATGATGGCAGAATAAACATGATGGCGGAATAAATATGATGGCAGAATAAACATGATGGCGGAATAAATATGATGGCAGAATAAACATGATGGCAGAATAAATATGATGACAGAATAAACATGATGGTGGAATAAATATGATGGCAGTATTAACATGACGCCAGAATAAACATGATGGCAGAATAAATATGATGACAGAATAAATATGACCACAGAATAAATTATGATGCCAGAGTAAATAAGATGTCAGAATAAATATGATGTCAGAATACATATGATGGTAGAATTAATATGATGGCAATAATAAAGATGATGTCAAAATAAACATGATGGGAGGAAAAACATGACAAAAATAAGCAAAATGAATTATTTAACATTTAATAAATAAACAAAGGAAATATGTTCCACTATTATGAACATTTTTGTATGTATAATCAATTGTGGACGATGAACGTAGTTAGTATGTAATCTGTTTCATGAAATTATTTAGTAAGTTCAATCAATTATGAACTTATTTATAATGTACAATCACTTATGAACTTATTTAGTATGTGCAATTAATTATTAACTTATTTAGTGTATATAAACAATTATGAACTTATTTAAGAATTTACAATCAATCATTTAACATTGAACGATGGGGTACAGATGTAATCTGACTTACTTTCTCTCAGATGTCGAACTCTTAGTGTCTCCTCTGGGACAAAAAAGAGACATTATTATTTGTAATTTTTTTTTCTCAGTTGTTAAATACCTTCTCAATCAAATAGAAAATGTATGCAATTTCACGTTATAAAAAATTGCTTAAATTTAGCTTTGCTTTGTACACGTTTTTTAACAACTTTGTGACATATTAAAGTGTTATACTTTTAGTTGGTAATATTTATGATTGTAATGAGGGGAGAGACTACAATTAGGTTGTGTTAAATAAATGAGCGAAACAAATATGGGAAAACATGATAAAAAGGACGAAACAAAACAAATAACGTTTCGGCGAGAAGCCTTCTTCAGCGAACAAAATATATATATATATATATATATATATTTACCATGGTTTGCTTCGCTCATTTAACTTACATACTTTTAAATGTATATCGTAATTGTATATTAATTTAACGCCAAAAATTCTGCTGCATTAAATAGACACGTATTTTAATGGTAAGTTTGTAAGGCGCCCTTTTCCAAAAATTAAAGATAAAATTGTTCGAATAAGATGCTTACTTTTTTTAACAACTTTGATTAGTGTGATAATTTTAATGAAATGTTTTAATACATTTTATATTTTTTGTAAACACTCCTTACCACTAAATAATATTGCATCTTTTACTACTCATTTAATGACCCACACTGCTGCTAGTGCTTTCTCTATTAGTAATTCGAATGCTAGTACTTGGTCTACTTGTTATTATACTGCTAGTACTTGGTCCTCTTGCAATTCTACATCTATTACTTGGTCTACTTGATATTATATTGCTAGTACTCGGTCTACTTGTAATTCAGCTGCTAGTACTTGTTCTACTTGTAATTTAATTGCTAGTGCTTGGTCTAATTTTTTTTATTCTACTGCTAATACTCACTCGGTCTACATGTTATTCTACTGCTAGTACTTGGTCTACTTGTAATTCTACTGTTAATGCATTATATCCATAAAATCTTCAAATCTCTCAGGCATATTAAGTTTAGCCTACGTTTCTTTCTTTTTTTTTTTTTGTTAAATAAGACACTATAGTTAAATTTATAAATGCGACAGGAATACAATATATTGACTTCACAAGTATGACACTTCAATTATATGAAATTTCTAAATAAAACACTTCTATTATATGAAATTTAAAAAAAAGACATTGTTGTAACATTGTATTTCCAAATGTCACAATGCTTTACACATAGTTAGATAATATAGCTGAATTTAAGGTATAAATTATATATTATAGTTGCATACATATATTCTATGAAAGCATCATAGATTAATTCAATGTACTTGCCACATAAAAGCATAATGTAACTTGAGTTGATGAAAAAATCAAAAGACGGACTTACTAACTAAGTATATAAAGGCAGCCGTTGATACTATTCCAACTAAAACTAAGACCATAATAAAAAAGCTGTAATCAGGTTCAATTTTTAACTCGGGAGGAAGGATATCTGAAAATAGAATAGATACAGTATATCATATCATTGTATATAAGGTGTGTGGATATCTGAATATTTGCTAAATCCTGGTCTATTTCCAAGCATCTTGTTTAAGTTTTGCCATAGGAACGAATAGGCAAGGGTCAGAGTTAAGCAAAATACAGCTCAAGTCAAGACTGCTATTTCGAGTCGGATACTTAGTCATCTTGGCATGCAAACGTTGAACCGTAATAATACTAATGCTATTAATAATAATAATAATATCAGGTGGTAGAACATCTGAAGAGAGAATACTCATAGCACATGTCAAGATATGCCATGTGAGGGTTGATATCTGAAGACAGAATAAACAAAGTATACGTTGTCAAGATATATCAGGTAAGTATTGATATATGAATAGAGCCATGTTTGGACCATTCTTTACTGCACACCCAGTGATGCCTGATTCACAATTTACTACGCACACTGCTATGCTTAGTCCACACTCTAATGCAGACACAGCCTAGCTTGATCATCACTTAAATGCTAACAAACAACGTTAAATAAAAGTATCGCAATCTCTTTCACATATTAATACAGTTTAATTCTAGTGCATCCTCCTTTCTCTTCACAACCGGCCATCCCCCAACTCCACATGGTTTAAATTGATAGTACTAAGAGAGCAAAAGAAACTGTTCCGCAACAAGCGCGCATGCGTCAAGTCTGAAATCCGTTTAAATTTTTCGTTTTTTGGTGGTGATTTTTTTTTGAATCAATGAAGAGCAACGGGGGGTATGGTGTGGACTGTCTGTGTGGTGTGGACTGTCTGTATGGTGTGGACTGTCTGTATGGTGTGGACTGTCTGTATGGTGTGGACTGCCTGTATGGTGTGGACTGTCTGTATGGTGTGGACTGTCTGTATGGTGTGGACTGTCTGTATGGTGTGGACTGTCTGTATGGTGTGGACTGTCTGTATGGTGTGGACTGTCTGTATGGTGTGGACTGTCTGTATGGTGTGGCCTGTCTGTATGGTGTGGACTGTCTGTATGGTGTGGACTGTCTGTATGGTGTGGACTGTCTGTATGGTGTGGACTGTCTGTATAGTGTGGACTGTCTGTATGGTGTGGACTGTCTGTATGGTGTGGACAGTCTGTATGGTGTGGACTGTCTGTATGGTGTGGACTGTCTGTATGGTGTGGACTGTCTGTATGGTGTGGACTGCCTGTGGGACTATTATTTAAAGGCCAGCAAGTAGGATTTAGGATTTGTCTATAGGCCTTTTGTTTAAAAGCCACAATAAGCTATTTAAAATGACACGTTATTAGTCTTGTAACAATTGGATTCACTGTGTATTTCCTCAAAATACTCGGACTCTGCGAAAAGCAAACTCTGCATCTGGTTAAGCCCTATCCTTAATAATTACAGCAACTACAAGTTGACAAAACGCTCTAAAAAATATCTTCACTATTTTGCCTCTTGTTCTCAGACAACACTCATCTCAACCGACTTACAAGCGTGCACTTTCTCACTATAATGATCACTCAGACCACTCTCATATCCAATGACTGACTAGCGTGCACTTTCTCACTATAATGATCACACAGACCACTCTCATATCCAATGACTAACTAGCGTGCACTTTCTCACTATAATGATCACTCAGACCACTCTCATATCCAATGACTAACTAGCGTGCACTTTCTCACTATAATGATCACTCAGACCACTCTAATATCCAATGACTAACTAACGTGCACTTTCTCACTATAATGATCACTCAGACCATGCTTACCACTACTGGCTAACTAGTTGCACATTCTCTCTGCAATAATCATTCAGCATACTACCACCAACGAAATCCATGAACCGACCTTGCATCACCCGCCCCACCACAACTCGCTCACGTAAAACCTTTCAACAACTCGCGATCACAAACTTTCGTCAGCACCCATTCATTCTCTCTATTCCAGTTCATTACCCATCAAAGTTTGAAAGTATTTGAACACGGACCAGCCATGCGAATCTATACATACAAGTACAAATATATACGTAAAGCATGTATCATTTATAAATAAAAATCAACTGATGCGGAAACGTTACACCTACCAGAAACGCTGCAAGTAAAATTTTCGTGACGATTACATCCGGGCAACTCTTTATAAGAAAATTCATACATGGTCCCAAAGTGCTGCTTGTCCACCCTTATCAACATGTGTGTGCAGGGGCCTCTGACGAACGGGACCTGCTCATCGTCCTTTTTGTACTTGGTGATCCTGATGACCGGGTGGAGCAGGTTGTAGACACAGAAAGTGAACGTGTGGCTGCCCCCGTGAAGTAATTCGAGGCTACAGTTCCTAGGGTTTAACAGTAGTTTGTCCAACTGCAATACAACTTCTTTCCCAGCTGGCGATTGAAAACAAAGATGTCATATCTCATATATATACTTACTGATGAGAATATTAATGTTAGCAATAGAGAGCCACGGTTGTGGTGTGGCACTGTCTAAAGAGCCACGGTTGTGGTGTGGCACTGTCTAAAGAGCCACGGTTGTGGTGTGGCACTGTCTAAAGAGCCACGGTTGTGGTGTGGCACTGTCTGTAGGACCATTGTTGCAAGGAAATGAGCAGTTAACTATTTTTGTAACACTTGGATGCCCTTGGGTATATTCTCAAAACACCTGGACCTGGTGCTAACAAAAATACATAGTACATAATGTATTACAACATGCAGACTCCCATTCAAACAAGTCATTGTGTTTAAAAAGTGTAAAAAAATATTTAAAATAATTTTATAAGATTTTTTGAATGCGCGCATTTGCATCAGAAGTAGTTAGTCTTTACTGCATTGAATCACGCATGAAATATCAGTGTAAGTCATTACTAACTAACATCGGCTGCCTATAAACGTATATGGCAAACACTTGCTATTAGGCATAAACAGTTTTTACAAAAGGGCTGAAGTGCTTATCCCTCATTATTAAACAAACACACACGCATATCTACTCATACGCAGCTGATTTCAGTTTTATATTAAAAATGTTGATTTCAGTACTGTGAGTTTACTCTCACAGTCAGACAGACTCCATTGGATTGTACTCTCATAGTCAGACAGACTCCATTGGATTGTACTCTCATAGTCAGACAGATTCCATTGGATTGAACTCTCATAGTCAGACAGACTCCATTGGATTGTACTCTCATATTCAGACAGACTCCATTGAAATTTACTATCATAAATAGACAGACTCCATTGGATTGTACTCCCATAGTCAGACAGACTCCATTGGATTGTACTCTCATAGTCAGACAGACTCCATTGGATTGTATTCTCATAATCAGACAGACTCGACTGGAAGGCCAATAATTTCTCTAAAGAATCTATAATGCAATCGCAAATGTTTAAATTATAAATACTTAGTATTCCAATCTTTGTAGACTTACCAGAACGACAATTCTATTAAATAATTTATTCAATAATTAAAATACACGTAGAAAGAATGCCAAGTGACAGAGGGGTGAAGGGGGCACACCACCAAAACCACAGAAAACGACTCAAAGCAGACCTTAGCTTAGATGGATGGATGATTTGGGGAAATAATCTACAGCCGCTGCTTATCCAAGCATGGAATTTTGAAGCATCAGTTAGATATGTGTGGAAGGAAGTAGTGAGGCGGGTTAAAGCCCTACATGGTCTGGAGTGCCACAGGGATGGTGTTATGTAGCATACAATCCCCGTGCGTGAACTTTGCTTTGACCTAAATTAGACCCCAGCAGACGGTAGTGTTTCTTGTGGGCGTGGTTTAAATACTCTTTGATGTATCATGTTTACAACTGACGGCCAATTACACATTGGTTAATATACCTACTAGTGTCTTATCAAAGGTTCTCAATTTGTTCTGGAAAACTAAATGCGTTTCTATGCGCGTCGGTAGACCCACATATATAAATTATTGACAGGCACAGAGGGACGGAGATTCAGAGAGATTCACATATAAATTATTAACTTTACGAGACATATATTATTCTTTGTGTTCTTATATATGTTTTTTTTCGCATTCTTCATGGATCATTATTCATTGGCACATTGTACTAACTGTGTTAACTGTGTACCGGTACAGGATCTACCATACTGTAAGTTGATCATCTGTAATGATATTTCTTTTCTTTTGTAATTACATTAATACTTAATAAATCTTATTAGGTGTAACTAGCAACCGTTGTGGGTGTCGTAACTTTAATATTGTTGACTCTATAGTATCGTCTTTTGTTAGGCACTGTTAACAACGAGCAAATAAATTTAAAATAGGAGATTTATTTCTCATATTAGAAGCCAGTGCGTAACAGATGGGAAGGATGCAATAACTAAAATAAATAGGAAAAAAATGCAAGGTTTACCTTGAATTTGCTATGTGATCTAACCGCTGTGAGGAAAACTTACCATTGACGTGTATGATCGGCACCGACTCGACATTGCTGGAGACGCCACTGTCGTTCCCCACCCACCAAAGCCGAATGGCCTTCTGACTGTAATTTAATAAGGCTGTCGTGTTTAAAGTTAGGTGGTACATGTAATTGTTCACTCGATGGCAGTAGCAATCACTTGCGTTATGTTTGTTATCAGAGCACCTTGCAGTTTCGAAATCAATGCTGCATATCTGGAGATTAAAACAGTGTTAAACTAAAAAAAAAATTTTTAAATGACCTAGAATATGGGATCCATTTCTTATATTATGCGTATAAATGTGATTTTCTGAATATATGCAGTTATGCGTATTTACATCAATAGATCTATGTATATTTAATATATATTTACTAAAGTATTATATCGTGTAAGACTTTCAAAAATAGCAATAACTTTATAATTAGACTAGTGTTAATACGTTTATATTTAAGATTGTATCCTTCCTTTAAATTCTGCACTTGTGTCAATACTTTTATATATACTCTTGTATCAATACTTGTATGTTTACACTGGCATCAATAACTGTATATTTACACGTGTATGCATTCTTTTAAATTTAAACGTTCATTTAACTCATGACTGAAAATTAAAGGAAAAACAGATCAAAGGCTAATAAGCTAAACAAGTGTTTCATTACTTTACATTAGAACACAAATGGGTGCCCTGAAAAAGCGATAATTTATGTATTAAGTACTCATGGGTCAAACTTTGAATGTACTCACTGATGTGAACTCGGAGTTTTTGGAGTTACCAATCTGAAACTCTACTATGTTCCTGTCCTTCAGTTCTTCTGATGTGGCGTTCAGATATCCGGTGACCAGCATACGATCTTGACCCTCTAGCAGCCCATATGTACATTGTGTGATAGAGTGTGTTTGATCGTATGGTTCCAAAACTAACTTTGTGACTTAAAAGGGTAAAATGAACAATCATTTACACATGGTTATATACTTTCAGAGTAATTCGTTAGAAGGACACAATTCATCCCACTAAATACATTAAACATTATACTCTAGAACTTCATAGAAACTTATTACAAGGACACAGGTAATCAAATTATTGAATAGATTACACGACATGTAAGCATTGACATATTTTTTTTTCAAAAATACTAAAAACATTAATAACTCGATAATATAAAGATAAATGTATATGTTTAGAGAGAGAGATACATTTATAACATTCAGTACTATATCGTTTTTTACATATATAAAAAGAATAAATTTTAATCAGTTGTTAAAGAAGATATTTTTTAAACGTGTTCTCCCTTAAGAGATAAATGTTTGCCTCTTAAATAAAATTTTATAAACGCTCAGTTGTTGAAAAACCAAATTTTCAAAACATAAAAGTCACGTTAGGATTAGGCTTGTTGCCATGTAAAAATTAGACTGGCTTTTTTCAATAGTATATATGTATATGTATACAAATAAATGTGAATTTTTACCGAAAGGAAAATATGAAATTAGCAGGGAAAATTACAATCGATATTTAGGGTCTATAGATTAAATTGTAATTGTACATTTGATATGGACCTACTTTTGAAGGGGTAATTGTACATTTGATATGGACCTACTTTTGAAGGGGTAATTGTATATTTGATATGGACCTACTTTTGAATAGGTCATTGTACATTCATTTGATATGGACCTACTTTTGAAGAGGTCATTGTACATTTGATATGGACCTACTTTTGAAGGGGTAATTGTACATTTGATATGGACCTACTTTTTAAGGGGTAATTGTACATTCATTTGATATGGACCTACTTTTGAAGAGGTCATTGTACATTTGATATGGACCTACTTTTGAAGAGGTCATTGTACATTTGATATGGACCAACTTTTAAAGGGGTAATTGTACATTTGATATGGACCTACTTTTGAAGGGGTAATTGTACATTTGATATGGACCTACTTTTGAAGAGGTCATTGTACATTCATTTGATATGGACCTACTTTTGAAGAGGTCATTGTACATTTGATATGGACCTACTTTTGAAGGGTAATTGTACATTTAATATGGACCTACTTTTGAAGAGGTCATTGTACATTTGATATAGCCCTACTTTTGAAGAGGTCATTGTACATTTGATATGGACCTACTTTTGAAAAGGTCATTGTACATTTGATATGGACCAACTTTTGAAGGGGTAATTGTACATTTGATATGGACCTACTTTTGAAGGGGTAATTGTACATTTGATATGGACCTACTTTTGAAGAGGTCATTGTACATTTATTTGATATGGACCTACTTTTGAAGAGGTCATTGTACATTTGATATGGACCTACTTTTAAAGGGGTAATTGTACATTTGATATGGACCTACTTTGGAAGGGTAATTGTACATTCATTTGATATGGACCTACTTTTGAAGAGGTCATTGTACATTTGATATGGACCTACTTTTGAAGAGGTCATTGTACATTTTATATGGACCAACTTTTGAAGGGGTAATTGTACATTTGATATGGTCATACTTTTGAAGAGGTCATCGTACATTTGACATGGACCTACTTTTGAAGGGGTAATTGTACATTTGATCTGGAACTTCTTTTAAAGGGGTAATTGTACATTTGATATGGTCCTACTTTTGAAAGGGTAATTGTACAACTGATACGAACCTACTTTTTAAGGGGTAATTGTACATTTGACATGAACCTACTGTTGTAGTGAAATGTGTACAATTGATATTTAACTACTGTTGAAGTGGTATGTGTACAATTGATATTGACCTACCATTTAAGTGACATGTGTACAATTGATAAGTACTTACCATTTAAGTGACATGTGTACAATTGATAAGTACTTACCATTTAAGTGACATGTGTACAATTGATAAGTACTTACCATTTAAGTGACATGTGTACAATTAATAAGTACTTATCATTTAATTGGCATGTGTACAATTGATAAGTACTTACCATTTAAGTTACATGCGTACAATTAATCTACACTTACCGTTGAAGGGGCATGTAAAGAATTGATTTTGAACTACCGTTAAAAGGAATGTGCACAGTTGATATGGACCTAACTTTGAAATGCCATGTGTACAATTCATATGGACCTACCATTGAAGTGGCATGTGTACGAATTATTTCTCCTACAGCCCCCCGTTTCAGCGTACGAAATTTCAAAACTTGAGTTGACCGGAATATCAGTGGGTTCCAGGTGGTATCTAATGCAGTCATGGGTCGTCACGTTGAGAGAACTGTCCCTGAAGGAGATCTGCAGGACGTGCTTCTCCAAGTTTGTAACACACCACTCGAGGTCATAGGTCAGGCCGCTAAGTATTTGGTTGATTTCACAGATGGGGCTGATTAAAACACTGTTGATTGTTAGCGTCTCGTGGGGCTCACCTGGAAACAAAAGAAAGAACATGTGGAAGAGGTGAAAGATTTCGACGGAAATATAAAACTTTATTTTGACTTGACCGACCATATACACTAATTTTTTTAAAGGTATTACAAAATTAAAGTTTGATTCTGCCACAGAAATCAATACTGCTAATTTTGTTTCAAACAATTCCAGAATGGTAATCAAAGTCACACTATTTAATTATCCTGCAGATTTCATTACATTTGAATTTCAATAATTTCACAAAGTTATGCATGCATTTACACTTTTTTAACCCAACATACACTTTTCTTTATGACCAACAACAATCATTTTTTACTTCATACTTTTCAAAGTGCATTGATGTTAGTATATGATGGACAGCTTTTAAGACGTGTAAAAAGCGAAGCACGATATGTTTAGGTTTGAAAGAAAGAAAAAAAAAGAACAAATAACTTGTTTGTATGGCTGAATAACTTCTTCAGCAGAAAATACAAAATATGAAATAAATAATTGCCAATAAAATGTGAATTAAAGTTCTTCGCTGCTCAGTTAGAAGGGGACAAGAAAAATTATAGAGTTTATGTTATTAAAAAAACAATATGCATTTGTACAATTTATATTAGGGGAAGTTCGTTTCTTCAGGTGAATGTTGATGCAAATCATTATATATTAAAAAAAAAATCCATTTTTAAAAAATATCTATTTATCAACTTAGCTCTCTGGATTTATTGCATCCTTAACAGTAAAAATATAAATATAAATTTAACTCGAAACGGGAATGACAGATTGTGACGATTGATATATTGCAAGCATACAACATATAACATCAAATGACCCTCTAAACATATCCCCCAATGAGAGCGAGGGGTAGCAAAAAATAGAAAGATCCCCAAAAGTAAGAATAGTTTGTAGCTCTGACTAAGTGATGGCACATTGTTTTTAAAAGGAAACTTCTTTCAAAATAAGAAACAATAAGACACAATTTTAATAAATAAATAAATAATTATGATAGAAAGCAACCTTGTCAATAGTATCGCAGCCTGTTAATGAATAGTTCCCTTGCTTAACCAGGGATTAGTCTGTTTTTGACACCGCCTCATTAGTTTTACCAAAGTCGTAAAGGTTGACTTACGAAATATTTTCGGCATGAGCACCTCGTTGCTGACGTCAGCTACTCCGTGAATCCACGAGGGCCAAATGAGTCGGATGACGTTACAGGACAGCGTGAAGTCTGCAGTTTTTCGGATGACTATTTCGAGCTCGAACGTCTCCTCGGTGTCATTGACGCAGCACACGACGTAGTCAATGACGTACTTACAACTTGACCTAAGCAGGTCAAGTGTGCAAATCTGTAAACCACAATTTAAAACGTAAGCTAGATGATAAAAATGTAGATTACTTTCACACACAGGAAGGTCTGTTAGGTATCATGTGGTTGATGGGATACACTGTGATAAAGGGCTGAAAATGGTGTAAGGTCCAGGAAGAGAACTGAGGAGTTCGAGTCGTTGGTGGGAGAGGTGAAAGTAGGGGGAGGGGGCGGAGCTCATGGAGCAGTGTTGGCTGGAGCTAAATTTGGATGTAAACAGTACGGATTGGGGTGTGGGTGTGTGTTGTGCGGTATTTGTTTGTGGCTGAAAAGTTTGGACCACTTTGAATTTGAAGTATCAGAGTTCTCAGTTTGTGGAGAATGTGCGGAAAGTGATGGAGTACTATACAAGATTAATTTTATACGATGATGTGTAGAATGGTATACATTTTACCTATTGGATCTAAGTATTTACATAATTCCACAAACTTGTTGTAGCGTATTCTTATATTTTTAACGTAATTAGTTTGCGTTTAGTGCGTGGCTAATAGAGACAATGTCAATCTATTTTTAAAGTAACTTCATGTTAGTCTACTTTTAACATGTGTTTATTTTACACCAGCACAGTGGTCCTCAACCTGTTGGTCGCGACCCCTTAGGTGTTGTACCACAATTTCAAAGGGGTCGCCCAACACCACCAAAAAATGCATATACTTAACAGTTATGAAGTAGCAACGAAAAAAAATTGTGGTACGGGATCTCCAAAACACGAGGAACTGCATTAAAGGATCGCGGCATTAGGAAGGTTGAGAACCACTACTCTAGTATTAAAGTATGTTCATGTCGCTCTAGTTTTAAAGGGTGTTCATGATGTTCTTTTTCAACATCTATTAGTTTCTCATTACTTTACTTTAGTTTAAGTTCTTAAGCCAATGTCCTGCTTACTGTGGTGTTCTCGTTCGTGTGCCTGTCCTGTGCCTGCACCACTAGAGTACTTCTCTGCGACACGTCGACCTCACTCGTGTTGACGGTCCCTATGAACTGATAGGTGTCATTCTGATCCAACAGCCCGCTCTCGCATTGAGTGACTGACAGAAGATGGTCGTACGGCTGCACGGTCAGCCTTTGTCCTCGGCACGTGTGACAGTGGAACAGATCTGAACAGTTCAATAGGCCGTTAGTGTCCACATATGAGCATGAACCACGGTGTTGAAAAACAACAATGGGATTAAGTATATGGGCTTGAATTGTTTAAAAGGGTATCACAACAATCTCTCTTTTCTTTTTAGCGTTTCATGAGACGCACTTCAGAAAAAGCAAGTATTATTTATTTTTATATTATTTAGACCTCCTTTTAAAAAAAAAACAAGTTTTACACTCGTTGCTTGACAATATACTTATTAAGACAATTGATTATTTCTAGAAATATTACAGTAAAAGAAACTGATGTTTTAGCAAGACTTTAGTTTTATTTCAATCCATAGTAGTTTGGAAAAAGGAATATTTTGATTTTCAATGAGACTTCTTCTTTAAGAGTATGCTTGTTTATTTCATTGAAATCTTTCTACAAATGCTTTGGGTTTTCTCATTTCTTTTTCACTACTTGCATTTGATGAAGGTTGTCTATTTGGTTTGTTGTTTTTTTCTTCTTTTATAATGTACGTAATGCAACGAGCACAATTACTATGTACTTTAACGCATCCAGTAATAACTACTCAACAAGCTTGCCAAGCTACTTCATGCCCTCCCCCCCCCACCCCTACCCCCTTGACAAAACGAAAAGGACGTTTATCGTTTCAGAGATGGCATTAATGCACAAAGTACATGAGAACAATGTTCTGTTCTCACGCTAGACATCACTTTTGCTACTTACGAATTAAAACCATGCTCTTGTACAGTGTGTCTATGTTCATAGTGGTGTTCCGAGTGTTCATTCACTCACACCTCTTTTTCTTTGACCCTTGCCACCTTCAGGTAAATCTTGGAGTTGTGATCAATCATCTGTTGATAAAAGTAGCTTAGAGGCTCGACACGTATGACATTCGATTGAGTTTTTCACTATGCGAGTTTTTTGACTATGTAAATATCTGACATTTTTGAGTGCATGAGTATGTGATTATGTGAATTTGTGAGTATGAGACGATGTGATTTTGTGGCTATGTGAAAATACAAGTATGTGAGTATGTGTCTATGTGATTATGTGACTATGGGAATACAAAAGTAATTGAGTATGAGACGATTTGATATGGGAATATGTGATTATGTGGCGATGTGATTATATTATTATAAGACAATGTGAATATAAAAGAAAGTGAGTAGATGAGTATGTGATTATGTAATTATGTGACTATATGACTGCATGCTCATGTAACTGTGTGAGTATGTGAGTATATATATGTCTATGTGGGTACGTAAGTGTGTAGCATGTAAGTATGTTCTTATATGAGTATGCGAGTATGTAACCATGTAACTATGTGGGTATTTGAGTGTGTGACAATTAGTTTATGTTGATAGTCTATAATTGAAAGTTACTTAATAATTTTGTTTTTTTCCATGTATATATATATATATATATATATATACATATATATATATATATATATATATATAAATATATATATATATATTATATATATATATATATATATATATATATATATATATATATATATATTTATTAAAACATAATTTTTTTTTTTTTATATATATAGATATATATATATATTTATATATATACTAATTGCAACATAATTTTTTTTTTTTTAACTTTAAGAAATACAATAAATATAATACAAAGGAAATCTACAACAACCACAAACTAGTCATGTATAGATGATTTGAGATTCTACTTCCAGGTAAGAATTGACCAACAAAACCTCGAAACTGTAAGAAGGCATCGGAAACCAACCTTGCCACACGAATTTCATAGGAGAACTTACTTACATGACGTTTGGTAAGAGCTAGACATGTTGGCATGAGGTGATACAGTGCCTGATTAGAGCATCCAGTTCCAATGCTAATCTTCCATTTTGTTCAGAACTTATTTTTAGCTACCAAACAAAACAAAAAGGTTAACGCAAGTGCGAAAATGAGCAGCGGGAAACCCCGAAACGCAAGGGTGAGTATAGATCATCAATACTTTATATCGCAAGAATTGAAATTCATCCCAAACATGTTGTTTTCAAAGCAAATTATTTTCTTTAAAAGTATTTGAATCAAATAATGTTCATGGGTTTTCTCAAGTTTATTAGTGAATCCAGGGACATTATAAAAACTTAACTTGAAAAAGTAAAGTAAATATTATTGTGTCTTAAATCAAATAAAACCATAACAATAACTCTTTGCGACACTAAGATATTTTGCTGCTAAAAAGTGCTTCACTGCTCGATAAAAGAAAACAAAAATAGTTTTTAAGAAGAAAATCAAGCGATTATTCTCTTATCTTTATTATAATAAAGGGGTCTCTTGAATGCTTATTAAGATTATATTTTTATATTCATTTTTTACAACTAAAGATTTTTGTGTTGTTTGTTTGCATTGGCATTTTCCTTTTTTTTTTAAAATGAAGATACTTGATAAAGTATTATGTATACATTATCGAATGTTTATCGTTGCTTGTTGCATTTTTTTTGTTCTGTCATTCTTGTAGCATAATCTTTCATACCATACTTTAACAAAATCATTACAGCTATGTCAATTATGTGGACGATTGCTAAAGTGTTCCCTGAACTCAACACTGTCATCGACGCCCCCCTCCCCAATTAAGAATCGAATCACCCCCTTTAGAAAAGATATTGTTAACATTTAGAAACAATATCATCATAAAAAAAGATTATTTTTTTATTGGACATCTAATGATATATTCTTGATGGTAAAAATATGTCATATGAAAATTCAATGCGGGAAGCTAGGGTAAGATTGCGGGAGTAAACCCAAACTGTAAAGTCCGGAGATGGAATCCCGAAGTCGATCTGACGCCGATACCAATATCATTTCGTCAACTCCTGCGACGCAGTCAGCGCCAAGCTGTATTGACAATTGTCATTCCCTTGGGTCTACTGGTTGCATGGAGAGTGGGGATCTGCTGCATTGGGCAACAGCTGGTCTCCATAAATCACCACACAGGCTAAGTATAATGTATTAGTGACCTCACTTTACTAGGAGCAAGTTTGTTTTGAAAAGGCAAAGAAAGTAAATAGAAGGAAGAATAAATCACTTCGCTTCGCAACATGGAATGTAAGAACCATGTGTCCTGGATTCGACAATGACGAGGCCATGACAGGCAATTCAGGCTCATACCAGCAAGAAGCCAGTATAGGAGCTGCTCATTCCTGCCCAAGACAATCAGGGACTGGAACCATCTTTCAAAAGGAACAGTTGAGGCGACAACACTAGACACA